TTAGTTTTTCAACTACACCGTAAATTTAATGTGCAAATGACAATTAAAAGAATCTTCAATGAAAAAGGTTGTGAAATAGATGACTTAAACACAATTAGAGATAATGATGTGATCTTTGTATCATCGGGAGAAGATTTCATACATTGCAGTGAAAGCAAGAACTGGTCAGAGGGTAAGAGTTCTGACTGGATAAAGCTCAATGTGGGAGGCAAGCTGTTTACCACCTCTAAAAGCACTTTAAAGAGCAAAGAACCTGACAGCATGTTAGCTAGAATGTTTGCTGAAGATGGTACAGGGTTTTTATTTACTCCAAGTAACATAGATGAAAATGGTGCATATCTCATTGATCGCAGCTCAACATACTTTGAACCAATTTTAAACTATTTACGTAGTGGACAACTAATATATGATAATAACATAAACCCAGAGGGTATTCTTGAGGAAGCCAGATTCTTTGGTATAGAATCAGTAATTCCAGTTTTAGAAGACATAGTTTCATTAAATAAAATTCCTAAAGAAAGACTGCCATTAACAAGAAGAGATGTTGTTAATGCATTAATATGTTGCCCTTGTTCTTCTGAGCTTCGATTTCAAGGAGTAAATTTATCAGGTGCTGACCTAAGCAAATTAGACTTAAGAAATATCAATTTTAAATATGCTAATATGAGAGGTTGCAAACTTGCAGGTTCTAATTTGAGTTATTGCTGCTTAGAACGAGCTGATCTTGCTGATGCAGTTCTTGATGGAGCTCAACTTTTGGGTATGTGCTTAATATGATTTATTTTATACTTCATTTCCCAGAAATTAGAGTAAATGTATTCAAGTACCAGAAAATTGAAAGCTTCTTGTGTCCTTACATACTTTTACCATAAGATCATCATTCTATATTGATAGTTGGAAAATTGTTTACTACTGCTGTTGTATTTAAACTTCTAAATAATGTTTTTTAACTGCATTTTGAATTGTTTATACAGGCTAATCTACATGTAATTATTTTTTAAGGTGTGAAAGGTCTGTGTGCAAATATGGAATGTTCTCAATTGAAAAACTGTAATTTTGAAGATCCTTGTGGAACTAGGTCGAATATGGAAGGCGTTAATTTAAAAGGAGCTAATTTAGAAGGTAGCTGCATGGCAGGAGTTAATCTTAGGGTGGCTACACTCAAAAATGCAAACTTAAGAAACTGTGATTTAAGGGCTGCTGTGCTCGCTGGAGCTGATCTCGAAGTATGTTGTTAATAAAGTCAAAATTATCTTATTTAATATTAAAAACGATTTTTTTATTTATTTACAGAATTGTGATTTATCTGGAAGTGATTTACAAGAAGCTAATCTTCGAGGAGCAAACTTGAAAGATGCCAGTTTTGACTTTATGTTAACACCACTCCATATGGCTCAAGCTATTCGTTAAACGGTATTTTATTTTTTATTACTTTCATAAATGTTCCTCTTTTTTGTAAAGGTGATCGACAAACGTTACGTCAATATATAAAATGTTTAGACGTTAGTGGGTTTGCAACAGTTTCTGTGTGTTTTTAGTCTCAGTATATATTAGCAGATACGTTTTCTTATTTGTCGCTCTTTAAAAATGGTCGGTGAATTACAAAAAGGAACATTCACCATTTATATGTTTCCTCCCTGCATAATCGTCACAGGTAAAAACAAACTCTCGTGATGAAAACTTTTTTAATTCTTACAAGTTGATATTTACTGTACACGCAAACTATTTGATATTTACGTTTTTGATAAAACTAACAATATTTTTTAATAATTGAAAAGTAGTAATTTGGAAGTAGTGTTTGCGTAAGTCACGGGTACATGTACCATAATGTATCAAATTAAATGTTTCGGTATTTTGCTTTTAAAAAAAAGTGCCGACCGATCGGTCACACGGCTCGCCTAGAAAATAACATTTCGCGAGTATCATGCAAGTATATATGGTCGAAAGTAGTATCAAATGAAAGGTACATGAGCCTACATCTTGATAAAATCAAAAAGGTTCATGGGTAATACTGTTTACATGACTAAACCTAGATGGGGGTGTTTTGAGTAACATCATATAAACAACTTAGTTTTCGTAAAAAAAATANTTATTCAATTTTTTAATACGTGCTCTTTCGTTTCTCTTATTCAATTTAATTTTAAATGAACTTTCCTTATTTGTTTAACCTTCCAGGCATTGGGATAGCATTACAAGTTTAAATTTCACCTAGCATTTTCGTCATTACATCAATATTATATGAGAAAATACATATATCAATAGAAAGTACAAAAATAAACGAGTAACTATTGTTATTAACTACGATTCAAGTATTTACAGAAGTTGATTTGAGTTAAGAGACATCAATTCAAACTGCAGTGACATCAGTTGTTTCAATTCTAGATATACGATCCATAATTGTAACTTCCAACTGAGAGTCACAGTCAGGCTTTATTTTTAGATTTTTTAATGTTTCAATGACATTATCAATTTGACGAGGTTCAATTGAGTCATTTTTCTTTCCTGTTACAAAAAAAAGAAATGACATGAGTATAAAGAAAATGTAAAATATTTTACAAAAAAAAAAATCTTTTAAAATTGTAAGTTCTATCTGAATTTTTTCAATACGTTATTCGTGTGGGAATGTAGATGTTAACGTTATGAAATGAGTAATTTGCTTTAAAAAAATTTTACCATTCATTTTTGCATAATGAAGATAGCAAAATCCTTTGCCACCGCGCCATGTAATGTCATTAGGCTTGATCCCAGACTCCATGAGAGCATTTTTTAGTTCCCGTATGCGAACAGTCTTTTCTATATTAGTTACCATCAGAGAGAAATCGATAGGTGGTTTAGGTTTATTTCGAAAATGTTTAACTCTAAAGTTTTTATTATTGTTATTACTGTGCGACTGCTGTTCGTTTTCATGTTTCACCTAAAAACAATTTTTAAAAACTTTTACAGGTTTTCTCATTAATGTGGCTTGTCTTACTTCGCCGTTAATCTGTCTCTCCTGTCTATCATTGCTTCGAAACACTTTGGTCCTTTTAAAAAACCGATGCTTTTGTGGACGACTTTTCCTTTCGTTCTCCTTATTCTCCCCATCTGCTTGAGAAACAGATCGTCTTTTAGGCCTTAATCTCGATCTTCGCCTTCTGAAGTAACTATTTGGTAAATCTTTAAATTCTTCAACATCTGTATCGACCTCCTTCAATGTTGTATCCACCCCTTCCCTACAAATCTTTCATATCAGTGTGTACAAAAATAAATTGAGTTAAAAATACAAACTTTTCAACTTTTTCTTTTAATAATTTTAACACAGGCATTACATTCAGTCTTCTTTTAGACAAGAGGTTCCAAATGATGCCTGGAGGACGTGAAAGGCTGGTCTTAACTTCAATTATTTGAGTTGGAGTAATTATATAATCAACAGGGACATCAAACGGTTGAAACAGATTACTTGGGATTTCTTCAAACACCTTAAAGTATTATTGCATATTTAAAATAATGTATATATAAACATTTTTGGTATTGTAGACCTGACAGTCATGAACTAAAGTCACAATAACTGTTGAGTCATCAACAGCTTTCATTTCTTTCAATATTGCATATTCTAAGTCTGCATAGCCTCTGCCCTTCCCAATTCTCTGGCCTGAAACAAATAGTCATTATTTTTTAATCAACTTATTGCTAAAATATTAATGATATGCCACCTAATTTTGATACTGCCACACTTCCCACAACCAGTAAATCTAGGTTTATTTTGTCATCAATATTTATTAATTTTCCTTTTTCATCTAATCCCCTACGACTGACTGCACTTCGTATTTGAGGTTTGGAAGCATTTTCTGGCACAGTAATATGCTTAAGAAGACCTTCTTTAAGTCTAGGCACAGGCACATAGAGAGCTTTTCCTTGTTCTAGTACTAAGATTCTAGCTGGTTCTTGTGGCTTATCAGGATTAACTTCAATAAATTTACTGTTTTGAAAAATTTCTAATTCCAATAATTTCTTTGCTGCTTCTTCACGTCCTTTAAAATTTGGTATTCTGAAATAAACTGGCCTTGGAAATATTGCTATATTGTTGTTCTCCATATATTCCCATACTTTCTTGCGAATGGTTTTTTTTGTATCATCTGGGACAATTGCTTCTACTGTTTGCATATAAAATGAGACAAAATTAGATTAATTTCAACTGCTAAATGTTTAAATAAATCGTGCAAAATTACTTAGCATAGTAAACAATTTAGTCATCATCACTCAAATTATTAAGTAATCTGTGTGGCTATTTTAAGAACAATGAACCTGCATCCTGCACGATAATTGATAAGCATATAAATAGATAACACTACCATTAACACAACAATAACATTAGTAGTTTGAAAACAATAATAAAAAAATCTATAGCTAATTGAATTTATTTAAAGCATTAAAAATGGTATGATGAATATATGTAACTTACTTTTTACGTTTGCATTTTCTTCTGCCGGTTGTTGGTTAGATTCACTCATTTCGATTCGGTTTATTGATAGCTAATTAATGAAGAATTATTTCCTGTTAATGATTTGTTGATGTTTCATTACTGTTTTGTTGCCATGATGTAATTTTACTACATTTACGTTCAAGGCCACCTAATTTATGCATAGAAATGACCCATAAGCTCTTGAACACATTACACATGTAAAACGGAAGGATATTAATAAATTAACAATAACAACTAACAAATGATTCATCAAGCAGCTGATGTATAGTGTAGTATATGATTAGCTGCGCATGAAGTTTTTAAACACGCGACTTTTTCTAATAAGAAATGAAGAATATACAGGGCGGCATAAAAATCAATAGGAATTTTATCCATTATTTACCGTTATAAATTAACAAATTTCAAATTACAGTTTCTTCGTTCTTATTTTTGTGTATATAAGTATAAAACCTTAAATTATTCTTATTAATATGTTTGTAATAGCAAAATTAACTGCGTATACTCATATTGTTCTTTTAATTTTATTTTAAATGTGTTGTCATGTTTCTATAGCAATGAAACAGCAAGTTTGGTTTAGACAGATACCTTACTGTAATAAATGCCATCCAACGGTTGGTAGCTGAAATAGTAGTTGACAAACCTGACACTTGGAGATCTGTTTTCTCCAAAAAAAATAATCTCGACCTTCTTCCGTTTCCTTTAAGTTTAATTTTGATAAATTTTTAGCGTGTGGCTTGTTAAGTGTATCGTGGCTTCGTGGAGTTTTACGATGTAATAAACTATGAATTAAATATGTGTGTTTGCAAGATGATATTTGGAAAATTATAAGGTAGGAATTTAATATTGTACTGCCATTTAACAATTCCGCCGTTTATAAATATTATAAACTCCACTTGGATATTTTTGTACAACATGTATGATTCATAACTACTCAGTTGAAAAAGTAGGAGAAGCAGCAGGGTAATGTGATATAAAATAAAACTACATTTAGTTTAAGAAAATATTTTTTACATAAGAATGTGGTCCACCTACATTTAAAATTGGGTAGGTACATATGTATAAAACATTAAAAGGCTAAACAATTGACGAGTCGAGTGTGTTCTATTCTATTAAAGGTGAGGGTGACCTATCAATATAATCGATTGATTCGATTTTTGGATCGAGGGTGTGATTTGTCTTGTTTTCAGTTGTAACTGATGAAGGGGGACATATATCAGATGGGGTTGTTTCGCAAGAAAAGTTTTTCAAACCCTTTTGTTCGCCATGTTTTTTCCAGCCTTCTGAATCTTTAAATGTTAAAGTTCTTGACTGTAATTGAATAAAAAATTAAGTACATACTTAATAAAAATAAATAGGTTCAAAACTTTAGGATTTAAATTATTGTAGGGTCCCACATATTTCTCTTTTTAAATTAGGTACATATTTACCTTTCCGGGTTTGCGAAATTGTTCCTTCGTTTTGAGTTTGTTCTTCCCTGGAAATTCCTCGGCCGACTTTGTTCCAGTTATGACTTTGTTTAAAGGATCCGAGGCATTCATCGCCTCTTCGAGTTCCTTTTCCCAACGGAGCTCCTTCTGCTCCTTTTCTCTTTTTTCTAATTCGTGATACCTATTGTAGACCTTAAATTCAGATATGTAACAAGTATTTCCCTCAGCAAGCGAATCCGTATCCTGAAAAAAATCGTGAAAATAGTATGACATTTCCTCCTGGATGTGAATCTCCACCCCGACAAGGCGTTGACATGCATACTGCCGGGAGGGGGTGCCGTAGATTCCTTAGGCCCGTTTACGACTTCGTACTATACCTTTGCCACATAAAATTAGGGAAAATATCCTAATTGCGCTAGCGATATTATAAGAAAATATTATTTTTTACATTTTTTAAAAATTGAAAAATAGAACTTTAAATGAAGGAAATTGCACCTATTTATTATTTTAAATTAACGGTAATTGTAGTTATTGATCACCGATAATAATTAGGGTTTTGCATCAAAAATTGGGAAGAGGAAACTGGTAATTTTTTAGGATGTGTTTGTTGATTACGTATTAAAACTTTTTTTAAAATGTTTTCATTATAATTTTTGTAATTTTAGACAACGCTTTTCTGTTTATAACCAACAATTAGCAAAAAATACTACTACATCGAAGCATACATTTATAATATTTATAATTTATTTTAAAATAAAGCAGGCAGGATAAGACTTTTCTAAAAATTACTGCAAAGAAAAAGCGATGCCTCTAATACGTACTAAATTATGTAGTTTTTTCCAAGGTGGCGGTCAAATGATTACACAACTATATGTTAATTGTAACGTTTCGGTTTATTCAACCATCTTCAGACTGAAAAAATTTT